CTTGATTTGACAAAATATGAAAAAAAAAAAAGAGAGAGAGAAAAACAATCTACAAGTGGAACCACAAGCCCTTCCATAGACTCATAATACATTCAGTGAATAGCAGACGTCAAGTTCTGCTAGTGAAACAAACACTGTGTCATTGTTATTGAATGAGAATTTTGAAGCACATAAAGTACAAATGCTTCTCTGTGTGATCAGAGAAGCACGGTCCTTCATGTCAAACACCACAGTAAATCAGTTACTAAAGATTTCTCATACTGTGCTTGTACTTGCTTCACAGTATATGAATGACAATTCATATATATACGCTCATATCATCAACAATGTTCAGCCTGCCTTTTCCTAGCACAAATGAAACCACTGTTTGCTTTGGCTCCTATCACGAACAAAGTAACAACAGTCCACTGAGGGGCCGTCTTCTCCAGAGAGGGCTAAGGGAGGTCAAAGGCCTGAAGTAACAGGCCTCTCGTCTGGTCGATACGTTCGCTCTAGTCCTTTTTCTTGACCCCACACACAATCACCATAGCAGACAGTGTCGGTCGTGAACGGTAAGTAGCCACCCCGTTTGCGACCCCACGCCCACCTATGAGGCAATTACACTTGGCAAGAAGCAGTGGAAATGTGTACGTCATTGCAAACACCCAGCTCTCGCTCTTTCCTTCCAGGAGAAAGTCAAAAAATGTTGAGCTGGAGAAAAAAGACTTGAGAGAGTGTCTCCCGATCGATGATGAAGGGCTGGACCGTAGCCATAGCAGCACACTTAACTCCTGTACTGATCAACTATCACTTGTGTTTATCTTCAGCAGTCCGACTGGCCGCTGGAACGCGGAAGTTCGTTCGTGTCAACAGCTGCTGAGATGTCAGATGCACTTGAGTTGGAGTACGTATCTCGTGCTGTCCTTCAAAAGTTCACAATCCAGAGGTCGAAGGCACAGCTGGCCCGCAATACTGACAGACGCCGAGGTCAGGAGTGATAAACTCCACTTACGCGCCTTATTCTTCTACCCATGTGGCTCTTCTCATCTGAAACCCATCAAGAATAGCTAGATAGGAGCGTCGTACTCCTGGAGGAACTCTTGGAGTGGATGAGGCAATTGGTCCCGTTTGGTGGACACATCTATATGACCGTTTAAAGTCTTTCGACATAGGTGCTGCAGACTGGACATGCTAGATGCCAGCGGACGCAGTAGCTCCAAAGGGATCTTCTCGCCTCCAGAGTAGATGTAGTAGGCACTTCCGTCGGCCACGCTTCCACCTTCTCCGACGGCCTGGACCTTCGAAGAGGTCCCCGTCCCGGGCGATGGCATGTAATGATGGATGAGTTTGAGGACACAATCGAAGCGCGGCACCGCCTGCTCGCTCCGAGGGTCGGTCTGCAGGAAGAAGGAGACGGAGTCACATTGGATGCGCAGGTTTTTGGTGCCCGTGGTCGTTTTCACGCTGAGTGTGAAGAAGTGGTGGTGGTCCGAGCTGTCACGCACCAAGAAGGTGCCTGGGGGTTCGGCGTTCAGCAGTGCGCTGGCCTCTTTCCCGCTCACGGTGCTCCAGTAGAAGCCACTTTCTTGCAGTTTGCGCACAGCCACAATCACCATCTGATACTGCGCCCGAGAACTAAAGGTCTTGTACCGGTGGGGGGGCAGGCGCACGCCGCCTTCAAAGGGGCTGCTGCTCATGGCGCTGTCAAACCTACTGTGCGTTACCATGGCGCTCTGCCCACCCCCTGTACCGCCCGGCAACCACTGGTGCTCGGGGTCCAGGGCCGAAGGGCCGTCCCAGCCAGGGTGCTGATGCACTGGAGAGCACCAACACAATGCCCAGAGCTCTGGCACCTCTTCCACATCCAGAAGAAATGACGTCTCGTTGGGTATGGAAGGCAGCTGAAGGAAAAGCCAAATGGAAAATGTCAGCGTCAACCAAACAGTGAGAACAACAGAAGCCAGTGCCAGCACACTTACATCTGCTATGACATCACTTTTATTAGGGCCATTCATAGTTCTAATAACTGGATTGGATGTTGCTCACATGTGTTCCTCATCATTAAAGCCCAACCCTACCGCTCCAAAGAAACATCACATTTACGCATTTCAGTGATGTAATCATCCCATCTGGAGATAAACTATGGCTGTTTTAACATTACCTTCTTTAATTAGTGTCTGTTTTTTAACTAATACTTATTTTTCAAGTAATTCAGTAGTAGTGATTTATCTAGTCATTGTGCTTTATGAACCTTATGTATAAACTTACCCATTAGATGCTAGTGCTTATTCCAATAGTGACTAATATATATTCAATCATTACATCCTACTTTTCTACTAGTCACTATCCCAATACATCTGGTAACAAATTGCAATTTTTTGTTACTGAATAATATATCTGTGGTTTAGATCAGTTATTCACATTTGACTAGTATGTACGCCAATGTTGATGGTACCTTTTCCAGTTTTACTAATACTATTTCTACTAGTCAACCTCCCAATACTCCTGATAACAAATTGCTATTTTTTGGTAATGATTTACATGGGAATCTGTAGTTTAGATCAGCTACTCGTCATTCACTAGTATGTATGCCAATGTTGCTGGTACCTGTTCCAGGTTTACTAATACTATTGCAACTAGTCACTATGACAATACTACTGGTAACAAATGATTCAAGTTAGTGAATTCTATAGGGATCTGTGGTTTAAATATCAACTTCCCACTAGTATGTACTCTTTATTGCTGTTCCATATTCTAGTTCTACTAGAACTAGTGGTACTAGTTAAGCAAGTAATCCAATAACGATTAGTTTTACAAGTCACTATTAGATGAGAAATGAGTACTTGTAAAATAAAGATAGATAGGAGTGTTAAAACGGCTTGCAGTGGATAAATTAACTAGTTGCTAATCGAAGCTTTATTTTTAGTCCAAGCTCGACTGTGTAAACCCGATATTGACTTCGATTGCTCTTTCGGGTTATTAGAAAACAGGTTATGAATGAGGTCCTCCGGTTCGTTGTGAATAACCCAATTTCTCATTCATGACACACGGTCTCTGTCTCGTATTACACTGTAAATGCCCCTTCACTCTCTTATCCTATCTGGAATAGAAATTCACCGACTTATTCGTGTTACATTGAGGTCGTTTAGTCACATATATCACTAAAGCAGACTTCAAACTGCTTAAGCTATGCGTTAGCTCGAATTACAAAGCTCAACAGCATAGTTTATTTAGACATGAATACCATGTAGTACAGCACATACCGAGGCATGCATAACAGTCCGATATAATAATATATGCATACATTTACAATAGATTCTTAATAACTCCAGTGCATTAGAATAAAGCGCAAAACGTCGTTTTACCTTCAAATCGTTATCCGACTCAATCTTGGGAGTTTTCTTAAAACATAGCTCCTTTTGTGATTTCCATATAAGCGTTTATGCAAAACAGACCTTCTTTTAAAAGGATGAAGATCAGTTTCATGTCAGTTTTTTAAGTTGATCAGAGATCAGCTGTGTGAACGTCTATCAGAGGTAGTGGAGGTTCGTGCCATCGAGCTGAGGTACCGACTGATATTTCTAAAAGGCTCCACCCCTTGTGTTCCAGTAAAGCAACCACACACACACTCACACACACGCACGTGGCGGATTGCCAATAAATAATCAGCGTGACCCTTTTTTACGGGATTTCTCTCCCCTCCCTTCCCTGTTCACACAAGGTGAAACGTTGCATTGCCCTTGCGGATATAAATGCGGTCGGTGTGTTATGACTGATGATATCTGACCACACACATGTTGCATATTATTCTGTTTTATTTGTCTATTTTATTTATTCATTTATTGCTTTTGCAGAGTCCCGTATTATAGTGTCGTTTACGGCCAGATGCATGATTGAACGTTTTGCCAAGAATACAATTTCACGAAAATTTGATTTCACAAAAAATGTCATAGGGCCTATCATTGGGACTTATGTTACATAAGGTTATTCGAAATCGAATGCAATTCTATACTATAAAGTTAAGTATTCCGTTTTCTATGTAAAAGTAAAGTATAGTATAGTATAGTAGTATTCACTAGACTGACTCGACATTCTGGCTGGGTTTGTTCCATACGCCATCTATAGGATGACAGCAGTAGACCACCTTCCAAAAGACCCCACTAAGACATTGGGGATATTCTTGCATTAATAAATTCACTGATCAGAAGCTTTGAATATTTATGGAGCACGTGAATCCAGGATTTATTGTAGGCTATATGTCATCTAATGATGTGAAATATAAAATTAAAATCACACAGTCACTGTGCAGAGTACAAGTACAGAGCCATTTAAATGCATCTATAGCTATAGCATCTAAACATAAATGCTTATTATTTATTGAAATATTATGTAATAGTTTAATTTATTATGATTTAAATAATAAGGGTGCAAGTCAGAATTTAACGGGAGGTTTGAACAAAAATACCCCAAATACTTCAAATGTATGCTAAAATTACTCGCATGTGATATATTTCAGTATATTTTCTCTCCTCTTATGCATTTAGTTCCTCTAACAGTGTAGCTGTCAGATAACCGCATTCACTGTTGAAATTAGACTATGTGCTGCTAATATAATAAACTAAAATAATAATGTTTTAATGAAAATTTTAGGAAACACTGAATGTGGGGGGGAAAAGCATTCATGTAGAATGTATTTTAGCAGAAATTGTATTGTGTTATGATATCCTGTGCATTATTTTATATTTGATTTGATTTAGAAAAAAATACCTTCAAATTGTAGAGGTCATTTCAAATGTAAATAGGGATGGTGCAGTGCACAAGAGATAATGTGGCATTTTTAGCATTGATAAAAACGTATAGAAAGATGAGAGACCAGCTAAGTTACAATTATACCTTGTCAGTGCTGCAGTCCCTCTCATTAGAACCAGCCAACTTGTTTACACTAGTGCGAGCGTCTGTGTCGCGCAGCCGGAAGCGTAAGTGTTTAGATAAAGTTTTGACATTCAAAATGCAGTGAAAACATGGCGGCGCCCATGAAATGGAAAAGACTTGTGATCTCTGCGTATACTCCTGCTTTCTCTTGGGTTTTTACGAGGGTAACAGATCGCTTTTTTAGGACACATGAGCGGAGGAGAGGGTAAATGATAGCGGTCGTTTGCATTACATAAAGCGTAATATTAAAGTCAAGCGTGTTTGGCTAATGTTAGCTTGTGGTTGTGTAAAGGAGAGTTCATACATTCATGTGTGGAGTTACAGTTGTCAAAGTGCGCTTGAGAATATGAGCCGTAAACATTAGGTCAATAAAGATGTTTGCTGTTTTTGCTGTACTGATGTTCATTAGCTTATTTCAAGTAAACACTCTTTCTTAAATATGTATACGTATACATAACTATAGTTCACCCAAAAATACTATGAAAGTAAATGGTGACTCCTTAACATATTCGTTTGTGCTCAACATACAAAATGTATGTAATGTAAATTTGGAACAGGATGAGGGCGATTAAATGATAATGATAAAGACATAACCTTTGTTTTGGGGCTATCTAACCCTTTAATGAGCTGTTAAACTGCACACTTGTTAGTGGGATAGTAAATCAACTAAATAACTTCAGCTAGATAAACCGAGACTGTAGGCAGAAGATCAGACATGGTTTGTCAGCAGACTCAGCACTTGCTTTTATTAAAATGATACCTGATTCAGGCATGTCTGATCTGATAACTCAGCTGTACACCAAATTCATGGATATTTGTTCATGTTAACCAGCAGATGCTTCTTTAAATGTTTTTTTTTTTTTACACGGAAAAATGTAGCCTAAGTTGGCCTTTAGTTGATCAGGTATTCTTGTGAAACTGCTGTTATCAGATGTGCATTGCAATGAATAAGGTTCATTCAAGAAGACTTAAAAGCACTGGTTTACAAAGCAGCCATTCACTGCTTGCATTCTTCTGAAAAGGTCGCTTTAATCAAATCACTTTTCAGTCTGATATAAGTAAAGACCTATTCCTGAATTTTCTTCACTTGTTTAGGCAGATGTGACATCTATGACGGGCTATGAAATGTGGGTCTCGTTTTTAAGGCAGGGTTGATACATCTGAGAGACGCAGATAGCTAACTTGTATAGATTCGTAAACTCACCCACGATTGACCTTCGCATTGTTTTATGCTCAGTCTCCGCAGGGTCACGGCGCTCTCAGAGGCGCCTCTTTTCATTTTGTTTTCTCAGGAGTTATGTGAGATCTACTGTAGTGTGCGGTGAGACTCCGGGTTCTGTGAAGAAAAGCACCGTCTGGGTTGTAGAGAACTCAGTGTGACCTTGGTGTTTGGCAGTAGATCTGAGTGAAGGGTTGAAGTTTGAGACTTCATACTGTGTCATACAGACCATATTACTGCCTTTGTCTTCTGAACCCTGTTGCATTTGGAGCTAGACTTAGGGCCCTGTTCTGAGTAGTTGGAAATCAAGTTTTGAGAAAAAGAGTTGTTGGTTGAATTATTGCTTTTTTAAATGTACAGGTCTGTATTGCACAGTCAATCATCTCTCCAGCATTTGTTCTTGGTGTAATTGCATGTGCTATTGAAATGTTGAAAAGTAATATTTTGTTAGTTATTATTACAGTTTTATTCACTGTTCTGAAAGAGGCGACAAACCAAGATGTAAAAATAATGATTTTGTTGATGATTTTCCAAAGAACAAAGCAAAAAGTACTAAAAATCAAGTATTAGGTTTTTAATTAGCAAAAATAGCTGAAAATACACTGTCGTTTAAAGTTTTGGGGTCAGTAAGATTTTTTTTTTTTTTTTAAGAAAGTAATACATTCAGCAAAGTGACAATAAAGACAGTTATAATGTTTTAAAAAAAACTCAATTTCAATAAACTGAAAATATAAATTAATACATGTTGAATAAATTACATTTTAAAATATATTCAAATATAAAACAGTCATTTTAAATTGTAACAATATTCGACAATAATACTGCTTTTACGGTATTTTTGATCAAATAAATGCAGCTTTGTTGAGCACAAGAGCCTTCTTTCAGACATATTACAAATCTAACTGACAATAATGCACAATAGTGTACATTATGTATATTATGTCGTTTGAAAGCTAACAGGAAATAAAAACCAAGCATCAGTTCAGTATCACTGTTCAGCCACCAGATTTTACAATATTTACTAATACTGTAAACGGAAGCACTGCAGTGTATTGTGTGCAGTGGAAGAGGTTTGCCAGCCTTGGATTCTGATTAAAGGTTTTCTCCTCCCCTTATTTCTCTCTTACTTCCTGTCATCCTGTAGGTCCACTGTGCTGCTCTTGGCCCCTCTCCTGGCAGAGGCGGACTCAGGCTCCCTGGCCTCCTCCAGACCTCCAGGCTTCACTGGTGTCGAGGGCCTCCACTCTCGGTTCCAGTGGATGGCTGATCATGTACCTGCTTTTAGGGTCCCTGGGGGCTGCATACGCATCCTTCACTCACCTGATGAGTTTTATCAGACTATGAAGGTATGCTTGAGTGTGTGTGTGTATGTATGTGTATTTACTGGGTAAAAGCCAAGTAATTGCACCTTCAGAGAGATGTATTGCCAGTAAATATGACTATAAGGTTATACAAATAAAAATCTCAGATATCTTATTACCAACAGATATTATCTCACTCCATTTAGTGCCTTTATTTATAGTCGTATTTATATCATGTCATTGTAAAATATATTATGTTGGGTGATATTTACGAGAAGGTGATGTTTATTTAATAAAACAGGTGGATCTTTGCCAAATGACCATTCTAAACGTCATAATTTATGTCTTGGTATTAGTTGTATGATTTTTAACATTAAAAGTAAAATTCTAGAATTTTTTTATCCAGTTAGATATTTAATAGGTTTAATTGTAATATTGTAAAAAATAAAAAATGCATATTTGCGAAATGTTTGTCTTTTTATTTTAACTACTTTGATCTTGCCATGAAAATAGCTTTTAATTTCAGTATGACTAATGATGACGATATGATAAAATAATGTATGATTAAAAATGAAATTTTGGTCAAATCCTTTTATTTTCATTTTAGAAGATTGTCTAGCTGTTTTTATGTAGACAATGGTTTGTCTTAAATCACTTTTTATCAGTTTGTTTTGTCATAATATATCTTGTAAAAAAACGTTACTCAGTGTTTCTAATTCAGTTTGTTGTTCTTTCTGTTTGCCCAGGCTCGTATCAAGACAGCCAAGAGTCGTGTGGTTATGGCTTCACTGTATTTGGGCACAGGACCACTAGAGCAAGACCTTGTATGTAACCTGTCTGCACACATTTCCTGTCACTGACCAGTAAATAAACCTTAGCCTAAGAAGGAAAAGGCTGTTTTTGTGCAGTTGACTGTGGCCTGATTAAGAATTTTACATAAGAGGAAGTTGCTCAGGGAAGTTTATCATATCTCATCTTCTATTTTTACTGCTGTAAGTTTAATACAATCAGGTATAAACAGTAGATCATGCCACAACCAAAAAGTCAAATCTGCAAACATATTCTGAAAAATGACCTCAGCAGAATTTAATTTTATCAACAGAATTTGATCTGGTGGTGTTTGCTAAATCTCAATCTAAAAGTTGAATTTAATCACCATCTCAGTGCGCACTAAAGTGCATTTCCTTGTTCATATTAACATGCGAAACCTGCCAGACAAGCCATAAGGTTCCTGTAGCAGAAGTAGAATAAAAATGAAAAATAGTACAGAACCCTAAGTTAACCCTAGTTTAAGGTTAAAAACTTGTCAGTCTAATGTGGATAATTAGAGGCTGCTTTCAGTGACTTTCTCATTTCTTTTGAAGGTTGATTGCATGGAAGAGGCATTAGAGCGCTCACAGGAAGATCATGTACCTGATCTCAAAGTGTCTTTTTTGCTGGATTATACCAGAGGCTCAAGAGGTCTGTTTCTGTCTTTCTTTTACTCATTTCAAACACACACACTCAGGCTTTGTTCGGACAGACAGCAGCTGGCGTATCCAACCCAAATCCTTGGAGTTGCTGTAGTCTGAACGGGAAAAACATAGGATTGTGATCCAATACGATCTAAATCACATCGTTAAGTGGTTTTCACTCATTTATGGTCACAATGGAATGAAGGCAAACCATATGCATGATTGTGTGAAATAGTGTGATATATCTGATGTGTCTCATGAGTTATGAAGTCATTACTATATATATCAGATATTGACTACACTGAACATGTGGATCTGATTTCATTAATTAAATGACAGTGTGGACAATCAGTCCCAAAGATCAGATTTCAAAACCAGATCAGATCGTGTGCTGTGTGAACAAAGCCTCGCATTCTCACTTATTCATAAACTCCCCTCTGTCTGTATTGTTCTTTAACTTCTTTTTGAACTACATTCTACGCATTCTGAACAGTCATAGCTTGATCTTTTCGATCACTTTTCTGTGAAACCATCAGAAGGAAATAATGCCTACAGGAAAGCCCCTGCCACTGTTCATTTCCCTTTGTCAACACTGACTAACATGCCTACGCCATGTCTATTCTGATATAACTGCCTGGGTGTAATTTTGGAGGATTTCCAGCTTTAGTAATTGTACGTTAGAGTTCAGACCTTTTTATTTTACCTTGCAAACTACTTGACAGGAACTGTTAGCCAATGTGTTGTACAACTCACCTAATGATGTTGTAAGAATTCATAATCTAATATGTCATGGTAACTGAAGCATCATATTGCAGCATAGAGCTTCATTTTAGTGGTTCAGATTCTGCTTGATCTCCTGAAAACGACTCTCATTATGAGAGGATTATGAGAGGGTGTTCACAAAGAGAGAGATGTGTGTGTTTTTTTTAATGTGTTAGCAATTTCTAGAGTGAACGACTGTAACTGTTGGCAATGCGTACAATATCATCTTCTATGCAAATGAGCAGTGACGTGATGTGACGCCTACCAATATGAGTGCACCGGGAGGGGTCAAGGTTTGGTTAGTTAGCAGTGTCCCATTCTCAAAGCATCTTTCTCCATTGACATCCATTACAATAGCTGTGTATTCTTTAAAAAAAATGGTCAAAACATATACTACCATTCAAACGTTTGTGGTCAGTACATGTAAATGTTTTTGAGTATTTTATGCTCACCAGGGCTGCTGTAAAAATACAATAAAAACAGTAATATTGTGAAATACTATTATAATTGAAAATATTTTTTTTATTATAATATATTTCCAAATAATATATTATATTATATTGGTATCAAAGCTATATCTTGCTATAGTTCTATCACGACAACTCTCGGAAGATTGCAACATGAACCAATCAGCGTGTGCCAAGTAGTTTTAATGTTGTGAATATCATCAGTTTGTGTTAACGACCCATCAACATTCGCCATCTAGAGTTTCATGACAGAACTTGGCATTTACAAGTGAAGGACTTGGAACTGACTAACTGACTATAACTTTTATTTGTTCCCAAAGGGCAATTGTTTTACAGCTTTCCTTCGATATGGAAAATGCTAAACAAAAGAGACTTTATACTATATAATAACTTAAACATAGAATGAATTTTAAAAATCAGTGAACATTCAGTGACTGTGGGTGTTCTTGAGGGCAATCAGCCAATCAACCTCTAGTTTTTAGTGTGAATGTCCCATTAGTATATCTAACGCTTACTTCAATGTATGCACTGATTCATTGCTTCTCATTTCCCTGTTTGTTATTTTTCATTTGAAGGTAAGCACAATTCCCGCACAATGTTACTGCCGCTGCTCCAGTGTTTTCCTGAGCAAATGAGAGAGTCCCTGTACCATACGCCTGACCTGCGGGGGCTGCTGCGTCTTCTGGTTCCCGAACGCTTCAATGAAACCATCGGGGTGCAGCACATCAAGGCATACCTTTTTGACAACAGTCTCATTATTAGTGGGTGTGTACACGTGCATGTGTCACAGCAAATGTGGATACGACACATGTTCGTAAACATATGTTATGGCCGGGTAACTAAAATATGCTTGCAGTGTAAATTTCTCTCAGACAAAATATTTCCATAGTTATTGCTTTTCATGGTTCTAGGTTTGTTTTTAGAGCATATAGAGCTCATGCAAAACCGTCTGCGCTCAGTGGAGGAGGTGAATATTTGTTCGCCCACTCTTGAGTGTGATATGATATTTCATCTCATACAGGGCCAATCTGAGCGACTCCTACTTCACCAATCGTCAGGATCGTTATGTTCTATTGGAGGACTGTGAGGAAGTGGCTGATTTCTTTGCTGAACTCGTGGGAGCCGTGGGCGACGTGTCACTGCAGCTCCAGCCTGACAACAGTGTGCACATGATGGAGGGAATGGTGCATCCCTACAAAGGCAAGTGGTTTTCCAAGGGAGGACCTGTTTAAACAGAAACTATGTTTTTAAATGTATAATGTCATAAGACAATGAGAGGGGATTTCAATGAGAATTCCTTATAGAGTTCATTTTCATATGATGGCTACATTATTTTAGCACCTGAAATGAGGAATTATGTAAGTTAAAAATCACATTATGTAAGGTAAATGCCCAAACACATTCACAAAATGCTAAACGCAGCTTCCTTAGCTTGGAGGCTGATTATGAGTGATCGATTGCGTGAGGATGTAGCTAACTACCATAATAATTCAAATTGAATGCCATGGCCATGTTAACTGAAGATAAAACAGTATTTAAGCACGCAAGGTGCAGTGCTACACCATGGTGTGTATCACTTGGTTTAAATGGACTGTGTGGATTGAATATCTATTATTTATTAAGAGCATCCTTGTTTAGGTGCAGCTAGACTGTCTAAGTGCAAGTGATCAAACAACCTCAGCAATTTTTTGGCAACGAAAGTAGTCCTGATAAGAGAAATGAGTGACACTTGTGGTTTCCACCCACTCTGACATACATGAATCAGAGGTTATGATGGTAAGTCACTCATTTCCTTGTAACACCAGCATTGTGGTAACACATTGAGTATCAGGAAGCTCGGAGCCTGCTTGCTAGCCTCAGGTCTCTGTGATGCTGATCTTCAGCCATGACTCGGTGTGTCTTACGGTCCCCAGGCTCAGCGATGAGCGCGAAACGAGTGAATGAGTGATTATGCTCATTCAGCTTCGGTCCATATCCGTAACCCAGCGTCGTTCAATGACATAATCGTGGTGGAGCGGGGCCACAGTTTGTCACAGATCCCAGAAATAGTGCAATGATGTCACCTTGCTGGTGGTAAGTGATCTGTGCTGGGAGGGTAGGAAAGGAGAGATGCAGGAGGATGATAGGTTCGGGAAGGAGCTATTTGGACCTCGATACAGTCCGTCAAGACAATGAGGTCAACGGGAAATGATGGACTGATAGCCAACAGCGAGAATAGTGATGTATGACGGTAAAAGGAGGAAAATATCAGACTGAAAAGCACATGCACTCGAATCAGGGTGACATTTCTTTATGCAACTCATCGACGACAGTATATGTACGAAGCAAAAGCCTCATCTTCCAGTAAGAGTTACTAGAGCGCTGGTCCATTGAGAAGCTTATCCGCTGAGTCGGCAGTTGGGTCCTGCCCCTGTATCTCCAGTAATTGGATCCCACAGTCTGTCGGTAAGAGCCGCTGAAATTCGTGGCCCTGTTAACTGGATGTGTTTGGACCTCTGAGGCCTGGAGGCTTGGGGTGGCTGGCTTTGCGTCCGTGGGGAAAGCCCCTGTATCCTCCTTCAAAGAGCCGTTTATTTGTTCTCCGCCGGCCACACATATTTGTGGAGGCTTTCGCTTTTTCTTGTTCTCTGCATTTAACAAACAGAATATTCTGAGCGGCCTTGCTGCACATTTTCCGTCTTAACCAAATAAGCACAGACACCATGGAGCAGCAGGCTTCTGCCATACATTACCAATATGCAGGGTTCTGCCCTGAAGCTAATTCATTATTTACAGATTATCTCTCTTGCTATGAGTCACCGTGGCACATTATGTCTAGCAGAGGCGCCAGGGTTTGACAGAGCGCCTTTCCAGACGGTCAGCAGTTATTGACCCGTGTCTCTGAGGTTTTGATCATGCATTTGCAGGATCTCACATGAGCAAATACCTGATAGAATGGATTGGAGGGGAGCAGATTGCGTGTCGTTTCCCTTGCATGCCCATTCAGATAAGTGTGAATGTAAGCACCCTGTTAAGATCAGTTGCTTAGAGTCATTCTGTTTATCATTACTATCAGGTATTTTAACTTGATTGACACGTTTCAAAGCACCTTTTCAAAACCTACTGAGTTATGCTGCTATGCTAACTGAAATAGAACTTCTTAAGTTACTTATGTTGAATGTTCTGCATAGGCAGAAACTTCTCACGTAAAGCACATGGGAGACTCATATTTGGTTTTACAATCATTTGTTTATATTATAAGTGAACACAGTAGTATTTACGCTGTTGTTCAAAAGTTTGGGGTCAGTTTTTTTTGTTTTTTTTTAAGAAAGAAATTAATACGCATAAAGTCAGAAGTGACAGTAAATACATTTATAATGTCACAAAAATGTATATTTCCAATAAAGGCTGTTCTTTTAAACATTTTGGTCATCAAACAAAAAATCCTGAAAAAAATGTATCTCAGTTTCCACAAAAATATAAAACAGCACAACTGTTTTCAACATTGATAATAATAATAATAAAAGATTCCTGAGCGCCAACTTGACATATTAGAATGATTTCTGAAGGATCTTGTGATACTGAGGACTGGAGTAATAGCTGCTGAAAATTCAGCTTTGCCACCACAGGGATGAATTACATTTTAAAATATGTTGAAATAGAATTTTTAAAAAATTATACTAATGTTTCACATTATTACTGTTTTTACTGTATTTTGGATCAAATAAATGCAGCCTTGGTGAGCATTGGAGACTTTTTTCCAAATACATTAAAATCCCCCCAAACTTTTTAACATAAACAAAAATGTACTGTAGTACACATAAATGTCAGATCAAATAGTCAAATTTAACTTTATCAATCTATTTTTATCAGTATTTGTCAGTAGTGAAGGAAATATGGTTATAGTCATCATTTAACTTGCTTTTATTGCCATTTTGTATGTTTTTTTTCTCACCACATTATGGGATTATCTTCTCTATAAAAGCCACAAGTGATGTGGCCTTAAAATTTGTCCAAAACGTAGTTTTTGGAACAGCTGTGCTTAAAATGCTGCCTATGTTGGCAGCTGACTAGGTTTTGGAACACAGCCCAGATGTATCCAATATTTAAGTGTTTCAACAGAGTTGAGTGTTCTCAGATGTGGTTTGTCTTGTGGTCTAACAGGTAACAGAGCAGAGTTTTCTGCATCGGCACAGAGACGGATCATGGAGGTGGTGAACACGGCCCGTGTCCGGCAGAGCATGCTGGAGGCGGAATGCTCGGACATCCTAGACTCGGACAGAACGGTGCCAAATGACACTTGGATCTTTCCACTCGTGCAAATGAAGCCTCTGGGCATTCACCTGGATGAACAAGTAACCCAACGACTGCTCATAGAGGCAGGTGGAGACTCAGTCGTCTACCTGACATCGGGTTACTTCAACCTGACGCGCACCTACATGCAGCTGGTGCTGGGTGCAGCAGCAGACTACCGTATCCTCATGGCCTCCCCAGAGATTAATGGCTTTTTTGGAGCCAAAGGTGTAGCAGGAGCAATTCCTGAGGCCTACGTTCACCTCGCCCGACAGTTTTACAATAAGGTGTGCATTTTTTTTTTACGGTTTAGCACAGGGCTGGGCAGCATGATGTGTTTATACCTGTGTTGACAGAGATGAACACTTCAGTGTAGACCGCTCTGTTATTTATAAAAGGAGCTATTTAGTTTTGTCAAGTCATGCCGCCCACTTCTAGTGTGGACAAGATGTAACTATAGGTTTTTTACGGTTGCCAGACACCATTACAAATTGGTGTATTAACATATAATTCAACTGATTTGTGAACTTATTGTTGCATATACTGTAGTATATCGGCTACCAAAAATATTTATAACGTATTACCATTTTACATCTTTTGTTTTTAATTAAGTTGTTTTTGTACTCATGCCAAATTTCTCATTATTTTTTTTTATTTGAATAATCTTTTAATTTGCTTCCAATATGGGTTTATGTTTTTTAAAAGCTACATTTATTTGATCAAAAATACAGTAAAAACAACAATATAGTGAAATAGTCTGTCCTGCTTTTTGTTTAGTGAAGTTTTAGTTGACTTAAAGTCTGGGATTTAAAAGTCTTAAAGTCTAGTTTTAGTCAATTAAAATTTTTAGTCACATTTTAATCATGCGTGTAATGGTAAAATAGTGGCATTCTTAATATTAAATCCAAATTATTTTAAAGGAGTCATATGATGCAATTTCAAGTTTTCCTTTCTCTTTGGAGTGTTACAAGCTGTTTGTGCATAGATAAGATCCCTGAAGTTGCAAAGACTAACATCTCAAACCCAAAGAGATATGTTTTATAAAAGTTAAGACTGGTGCACGCCCTCCTAAAACGCCTCGTTTAAACACGCCCCCACATGTCTACGTCACAATGTGGGAAGATTTGCATAACGCCGCCCAAATGTTCACGCAAAGAAAGGCGTAACTTTGATTCTCACTGTAGTATTGTTGCTGCCGCCGTGTTTCGTTGTAAAAGCGAAAGTACTTTCTTTGGTCTTCCAAAAGAAAACACAACTAGAAATCAGTGGTTAAATTGTATTTACAACACTGTTCCAGAACAGTTCAACCCAAATATTCAGATGTGTGGAAAATAATGTGTTTTTTGAACCTTAAACCACATAAACACATTTCATTACACCAAATAGACAAAATAATGTTCATTTTAGCAACGTCATATGACCCCTTTAATGTGTTTCTATTAAAACAACAACAACAAAAAGACTGAATTGTGGCACAGAAGTTGTGTAAGTGCATTTATTCAGCAATCTCAATCACAAAAAAACTAGTCGTGATCCATGTTTGGATTTATTACAGTTTCAGTTGATTCAGTCGCAGTAAACAGCGCAAATGACCATGTGAAGGAAAACAGACTTGGCTGTATTACACTTTCATTTGAGCAGAATTGTTTTCAGCTCATCAGAACTTCTCCCTAATGTAAAAGAGAGCATGTGTGAATGGTTGCCATGTTGTGAAGATAAAGTAAAATACAGGGCAGAAAATGTCCTTTTAAGAGAGAAGCGCTGAGAGGAGGATTTCAACACTTGACATTTCAATCCCCAAGCATGAAAACTTGTGGAGGGCCATATATTTTCTTTTTTTTTGTTGAAGAAAATATAGAGATTGTCTTCAAACTACATTTTAGTCTTGTCTTTTTTCGTCAACAATATTGCATGTTGACAGTCACATTTAGTGTTTAATGTTAGTGTTTAAGGTTGTCAACAAAGGTTTTTTTTTTTTTCATTAACAAAACCAACACTGTTTTGCAGTTTATAATTGTTGCTTGTTTTATAGATGGTGCTGCAGCTATAAATGCACTCAATTAGCAGGTTTTGAGTGGTGCTTTTCTGCTGTTTTTTTACTTTGATGTTTTTTAAACGTCCATCGTCGTATTGTTGGTTTTTCTTAAACGCTCAGCATCCTGTCCGTTTCAGGTGTGTCAGCTGGGTCAGCAGAGTCGTGTCCACTTGCATGAATACCATCGCCCCAACTGGACATTTCATGCTAAAGGTAGGTGTTTTTCTTCTGCACTGTTTTTTTTTAAGCACTGAAGTGGATCAGCCCAGTTCCCAAAAATTGGGTGTAACAGGAAAGCTCATAATTTAATGCGTGGAGCAGGTTTCCCAGCACCTCTGATTGAATAGCCTCAGAGCTCTTCCTGGACAGCTTCAGGACACCGAGGCTGCCAGACACATGTGATGTTTTCTCTGTAAACCAGAGGTATGCTTTGGCCACGTTTTCTGGCTGTTGTTGAATGTTAAGCTATTTCAGTTTTACTGTTTCAGTATGTTATTTAAGACAAATCAAATGCACCACTGAGCCAAAAGCAGCTTGATCACCACTGTGTTATTTCTCAACCTTGCTGTCTGTGTTTGTAACTGTGAGTGATTTTTAGTTTGGTTTAAAAATGCATGAATTCATAATAAATTTGATTTGGTTGTTCATATGGCATTAACTGAGTATCCTTATACACTTTAAAAGCCCCGACCTGAAGGGACAGAATAAAATAGTGACGTCTGGAGAAAAATAGAGGCTTGACAAACCTGAGCCGCGTCAGTGGAATTCAATTTCAGGCTCCTGTTGAGAAGTCTGGCTTATTAGATAAAGCCTTGTCATGCCGTCATTTCTTGTAAACAGTGGAGCTGAAGTGGGAACAGACAGGGTGCAGAGGTCCCCGCAGCTGAGCTAGAAAGAGAATCAATGAACATTAGCTGCCGTTTTGACGCTGGCCTTCAACCTAAGGTGGACTCGATTGAGCCTTTTTCACTAAGTGTCATGCCATAACTATACCTTTCTGTCACCAAAAAGCATGTTTTTCCATTGGTAGCCATTCAAAATTGGCAGCAAGTAGGTTGTTTACTTCCAGTGGAGTCACATGCCAAAACCGTTGAGATGAATGTTCAAAGCTCAAAGAACTTTATTATTTTGTTGATTATTTATTATTTTGTTAGGAACTTTATATGTTATCAATGTATAATACACAATCAGACATATCAACACATATATAATGTAACATTTATCAAGTAAATTAATTAAAGGCAGGGTAGGTGATTTGGTTCAAAAAAAAAAATTTTATGCTGGTTGAAAGTCTTAACACATCCCGATGGCAATCACTAAGTTAAGTGGTCTAAATGTATTTATATGTATTTCTAACATCTGTCGAAAGCGTAGGACCATAAAATCCAGTCATATACGTCGGTTCAAGGGCTGTCATATATGCCTGTCAACATATGTATTTGCATAACTCCGTGCACCGTTTGCTCAGACATGATACGTCATCAGTGTGTTCCATTATGCCTCTGCAGACAGAGCGAGAATGGAAGGTGTTATTATTGTAATATCATGTGCTTTGTACTGTAATGTTTTCTCACTGGTGATTGAGACATGATGTAATCTGATAATGTTCAACCCTCCACCAACGCTCAACCTCAGGTGTGCCTATGCGCGTTCAAGTGTTTTGGAGGAGGTGTGGCTTTGGAGAGTGATTTGCAGGGAGGGTGGTATTTTATTCTTTTTAAAGCTAGCTTGCTATTGCTAGTATCTCTGAAATCACCTACCCTACCTTTAAGTAAAAATCGAATTTAGCGTCCTTAAAGTGCTAGTGCAATGGAAATGCGAACGGATAATAATGAGGGGAAAAAATGGTTCCACAAAAGTCAAAGGCCAGGAGGATGAAGAATGCCCATTCCAAGTAAATTTTTGCAAAACAAAACTAGATTATTCAAAAACAGATTGCACGGACCGATTGCACTTCCTTTTAAAAGAATGCTTTTGAAAAGTCTTTTACTGGATGCTCACCAAGGCTGCATTAATTTGATTGAATTAAAAACAGTAATTTTATGAAATATTATAACAATTTAAAATAACTACTTTTATACTATTTTGTATTTCTTTAATAATTCTTACTAAAAAAAAATACATTTTGCTAAAATATTTTAGGCGGACTATAAATGTGCCATATGTAGAATTTTAAACCTACAACTGTATATTTATGTTTCTTTTCATTTATAGCAAATTTAACCTCTGCTTTAAAAAATAATTATTTTTGTTTTTAGATTGTAATGTTACAATGTTAGAGAATGTAATGTGAATTTAACCCTATTTTTAAAATAAATATGGATTAAAAAAAAAAAATCCAGTTAGAAAGTGTAGAAAATACAGAGATATATACCGTATATCGCAATTCAGCCAAAAAAATAAAAATACTGAGATATGATTTTTTTGGCCATATCGCCCAGCCCTAATTGAAGTATTAAAGGGGTCATATGATGCGATTTCATTTTTTCCTTTCTCTTTAGAGTGTTACAAGCTCTTGGTGCATAAATCACCCTAAACTTTTGAACGCTCGTGTATGATCAACAAAGTGGTCTATAATAGAATTGAACAGTGCCATGATGTGACAATAAAAAAATTTATTAATTGTGTTTGCTTGTGTTGTTTTGAAATAGAATTAAATTGATCTAATTAAGCATAAAGGCATTTATAATCATGTATAAAGGCTAATTGCTAGATTTGTGTGCATAAGGAAGTGCTCAGGAATTAATTTTAGGGTATTCCTGGCAGTTGTGTTACCTGATATTCAGCTTTCTTCAAGAACACGACCTCAGGCCAGGGTGGTTATGTTTGGCAAGGCTTTGAAGTGACAAGTAATTCCTGTTACCTATTAATAGAACATATGTTTGGTTTGTGTACATAATTTGATTGACTCTTTTTGTTTTCTTCCTCTAGTGTGTAGTCATGCATTGTTGATTGTTGTACAGACACCACACCTTTTAAAGTCATGTGACCAGTAAACACATATACTGACACTGTCAGCCGCTTCGAAGCATCTGCCACATCTGCTTATTTGTGAATGTGAAGCCATCCAGATTATTTTTAGAGTGGTTTGAGTCATAGTAACTGCCCAGTAATATGAAGCATTGTATAAAGCACTTATCATCATTACTGGTCTGAAAAATTCAATTTCAGGTTATTTTGTCCACTTTTTCACAGGCCTGTGGTACTATGTGGGAGGAAGAGACCGCCCCTGCCTCACTCTCATTGGCTCCCCAAATTTCGGCTATCGCTCTGTGCACAGGGATCTGGAGGCTCAGATTGCCATAGTAACAGAGAATGAGGAACTCCAGATGCAACTGCAACAGGTTGGACTTCCTCTGCACGTCTGTTTGCTGAAGTACCCCATCATGTAACCCATAAATCTTGGGTTGCAATGTGTTTTAAGAGCTGTTAGTACTAACTATGATATTAATGGCTGGTCATTTTGTAAGGGCTTACAGGAAGCAGAGCTGCGCTCAACACATTGTATCAAGTGATTCGTTTTATTGCAGTTTGAACAAGATATTGAATGTAGACCAATTTGTGTTATCACCCTGCTCTATGAGTCTGTGATGGGCACCATGCTATGATACTGGAATAATTTAGTATTCGCAGATTTTAATACTGTGATTGTCCATAACGCTACAGCTTTTCTTATACTAGAAAGCAGAGGCTACAATAAAGCCTAATTAATCGTGAGTGTATGTAAGATTCCTGTAATTTTCACTTATCAGGTGATAAAAGATCAGTTAAAATCAGTTCTTTAGTAACCTTTATGAGAAAAGCACCGAGATGACATAACACTTGAGATAGCGAGAGTTTAAGTGAAATCTTGATTTCTGTCTTGTCCAGGAGCAGGAGGTGTTGTACCAGAGCTCCACAAAAGTGTCAAACTCCACGTTTAATCAGCCAGACCGCCATGTAAAGCTGTGGGTGCAACTGGTTACTCCACTCATCAAGAACTTCTTCTAAAGTTCAACAGGCCTGAGGTGACAGATATCTCACTGTCTATGACAGGTTGGTTGCTGACGTATCTTTGAAGCACGTTTTAAACCTATCAGACATACAGAAGATCAGGCACATTACAGTGTTAGTGGTAGTTTCTGACATGAGCAATTCCTCCTGGAAAATCCATCTTAAGATGCTAGCTGCGTTTTGGAATATAGAAGCCAGTTATTAGCCAGGCCAAGCTGGTTATTATCTGAACCAGGCTGGTTATTAGTTGGTCGATCAGCGACCTTGTTCCAAAAACCATCTTGACCACCTTAAAGTCAACATGAATCTTATTTACCGTCTTAATACTTGTTCCCTGTCTTATTGTGAATGATTCATTGGGGGCTCTTATTCCAAAGAAAACATTTTCATCCTAATCTTTCATCAAGTGTAATAACGTGCACTTCCTCTTCCTTTTCCAGGGACGTCACTTAGGCTGAAAGGGTTGTTTTAGTGGCAACACTTACAATAAAGACGCATTTGTTAAAGTCGACATGACATGAAAATGTAAACTTATTTATCTTCTAAATGCATTTCATAGATCTTATTGTGAACAATTCATCCGTGCATGTGTTAAAAAAAAAAACATTTGCCCCTGTAACGTTTCTTCAGAATATAACTGGACCTATGGGTGAAAATGACATCTGTTGTCGTATGATAAAATTAACACTAAGTATTGTTCATTGTTAGCTCATGTTAACTAATGATTGATGTCAATGTTAACGTAGTTAAAGCTGCAGTCCGTAACTTTTTTGTGTTCAAAATTAACAAAATTTATATAATAAGCGAGTACACCATGAATCCATTTTCCAAAATGTGTTTTTGGCTTGTCCAGAATCACTACGGTACACCTATAATAAATGTTTATATTCTGACTATTTTAGACTGGTTCGGGTAGGTACCGCTGCGGAGTAGCCCAGTACCTGCGTGATTCGTCATAGACATAAACAGAGAGAAGTAGCTCTGGCTACAATGTTCTTCCGCAAGACGCATGCAGTTCTGTTTATTAACCGCTAGAGCACCAAAAGTAACGGACTGCAGCTTTAACTTAAGTTAACAAATAAAGCCTTTTTATCCAATCACTTCCCAGTGGATAAAATCATATAATCATATTGTCCTTTTTCATATACTAATATGTCATATTACTGAAATAAAATATGTTACAAATGGCAATTCATGTTGACTTTAACCTCCTGTAACTAGTTGCTAGCGGCTTGTAACCCGCTACCATCTTAAGCTGGATTTTCCAGTTCGGTTGCATCGGGTATTATGTGCGTTTCATTATGTTGAAGAACAAATGAGCCATTCGCATTAAATGCCCTGAGGGTACTAGCCTAAAGCAAACAAAAACAGCATTCAGCATTTTATTCCGCTTCCAAACGAATGACTTGGCTCTCTTGCGCTCAGTCAGACTTTCCCCGAAGATGGATATACAAAACCCCAGCTTGCCAGACAGTGGGTTCTGAAGAATTCACATTGTCACTCCAGTGGTTCCTTCAACCCAAATCCCCTTCACACAGCCCAGCTAGAGCTAGCATGGTCTGACCACAGCATGAATCTGATCATTCTAGTGTTGACTTCAGCTGCACTGGCAGTGACCTCCACGAGCCCTCCGTCGCTAACATCTGGAGTCTGTTACGGCTGCTTTTTCTGTGTGCGGTACCATTCCTTCTCTTGCCTCCATTTGATTACTAACATTCTCTGTCTCACTTGCTAAATGTCAGGATTTCAATTTTTTTACTTTGAGCTATTGGAATTAACAAAATGAGGCGGTTTGTACGTAAATAAGCTGAAAGGTCTCTGCCTCTTTTCCTAACACAAAATCAGCTGAAAGCGTAGTGGAGTTGAAGTAGCTGCCATTTACAAAGTATTTGATGATTTCAGCTATTAATATACAGTGTACAGTGGCCCAAAATGCCAAGACACTTAAAAATGTTAAAAAAAAACAGTGTTCAATTAGACAAAATATCAAACACTGTTAAAAAAAACAGTGTTAGAGCTTTTCTCAGAACTAGCTTGCTTTTCTCAGCCATTTTTTAAGTGACTTGTAGCTAACTGGTCTTAAGGCCGTTACCAAAGACAGTAACTGTAATGATGGCTATAATGTTTTAATCATTTTAATTAATAATTTCTATGAGAATAGGGAAGTCCACACCACAACTATAATGATGACAGTTACAAACAAAGTAGTTGAAATTACTTTCAGAACTTTTTTTTTTGTCAGCCAATCAGCCAATCAGAATCCGATTCTGCTTGGGCATTTAAAGCGGCAGACGACAAAACTTTATTGTCTGTTGGTGTAGACATATTAAATTGTGGCTTGAGTGTCCAAATACTTTTGAGGGGCCACTGTGGTATTCCTGGTCATGTTAAAATCCATTCTACAGAATTCTGGGGATATTTTCTCAAAAGAAGTGCAGAACAGTGGAGGTGTCACTACTTGAAAGAGTGTATTGTATTTGTAAATTTATCAAAATATAAAGGACTTTATGTAATAATGCCATAAAATAGCAAATTATGGCTTGTGGTCCTACAAGCAGGGTTGTCTGTAGTCAAGGAAAGTTTCAGTTGACAACCATTTACTTTACTTAGTGCTTACTCTGCCCTCTAGTGATTTTTAAAATGCATTACTATAAAACCAGATTTTTTAATTTTTTTTATAAATAGTGCTGTTTTTCAAGGTAAGCATCACTATGCTGAGTATTAAACTTTGCTGTGTAACTTGCCTTGTACCTGTGCTACTGACATGAATGATATCTTAAATTGAGTAGCTTGTCCTTTGGGTGTTTTCATGCAAAGTACATTTAAAAAAAAAAAAAAAAACTCATTGTTCTTTTGAACTTTCTGTTCATCAAAACATCATCATTGTTTCCACAAATATTAAAGGGGTCATATGACGTTGCTAAAAAGAACATTATTTTGTGTATTTGGTGTAATGAAATGTGTTTATGCGGTTTAAGGTTCAAAAAACACATTATTTTCCACATACTGTACATTATTGTTTCTCCTCTATGCCCCGCCTTTCTGAAACACGTCGATTTTTACAAAGCTCATGGGTCTGAAAAAGTGAGGTGTGCTCTGATTGGCCAGCTATCCAGTGCATTGTGATTGGCCGAATACCTCAAGTGCTTTCAACACTTATAATAATAAGAAACATATAAATCAGTTTATTAGAATGACTTCTGAAGAAAAATACTGAAGACCGGAATAATGGCTGATTTGCTATCAGAGGAATAAATTACATCTTTTTTTTAACCATTATATTTTTCAATGTTACTGTTATTACTGTATTTTTGGTCAAATAAATGCATCCTTGAGGACCATAAGTGACTTTCAAAAACGTTTTAAAAATCTTACCGACCTAAACTGTTGAACAGTAGTGTATTTTGCTCAATGTGTTCTGTGTCGATAAGAAATAATACATAGTATTAGATTAAAATCAGATCACATTAACATCGCCTGCTTTTTTCCTTGTTTTTTCCCCCCTCCAGATGAAAAGTGGGACTACGCGTGTGTGATTTGTACATGAGGCATTTGCAAATATCGATGGTTTCCTGGATGCAGATGGCAAAGATAAAGATGACTGTCCCGGCGAGCTCCAGTGAAGATTTTAGAAACAACTCTGTGCTGTTAAGATTCAATAACATTCATTCTGCTTCTTATAACCTCATTGTTAGGAGAGAATACATGTAAAACCTGTATACAGGGTTTGCTGCCAGTGTGATAGACATGTATTTGTAAGCACTATGGCAGATGTGAAGGTTTGGCCATCAGTTTGATGTGCAGTGCATTTGTATGTATATATTTTAGTTAATTTAACTTTTTTTCTGTGAACATTTGTATTGTGTTTTGTCACTTTAATAAGATGCTGTTCAACAAAAACCCTTTCCATTTCTATTGTACTTTTTGATTATTATTTTTGGTTGAAAATGTCAGAAGCAGCTATAAGGCATCATTAATATTCATTTCATTACTAAGGTCAAGGATATTCAGTTGATCTCGCACATTTCAGCAACACTTAGTTACCTCAGCCATATGTGAAATATCTATTTCCCTGAAACCTATGGAAGCTTGTTTTCACCACAGGATAAATCAAAGGCAATTGTTAGTTCTCACAATTTGTCATTCTGAGTTTATATCTCACAATTCGGACAACTCACAGTTCTAAGAGATAATCTGGAAATTCTGAGATGAAAAGTCTGAACTGTGAGATCACAGCGAGAACAAGTGACATTTTTTTCACTCGTTTTTGACATTCAGAATTCGGAGAAAAAAGATTGAATTGAGTGTGAATATCTCACATTTCTGACATTTTTTCCCTCAGAATTGTGCATTTATATTTCAAAATTCACTTTTTTTTTTCTCCTCCAAAGATTTGTTTAGCTTAAAAGTTCCAATTACCTTTTTTATTCTGTGGTGGTAATGGGCTTCCATAGAAACCACTGCAAATGATCAAGGCTGAGGGCCTTAAAAAACGTTAAAAATAATTTAATCACCCCCATGAAGGAGTCACAATGTTCCCTTTTAGTTAGACTATCCATTTACACTCCATTCTTTATAGTTTTGTTTATAACTGTTCATTAATGATGCTCAATACTGAAAATGAGCATATGACTTTCATTAATATTTAGTACAGCAGAGCTTATAGAAGAGCTCCAAATCCTGACACAAACCTTTACACAGTATGCCTGGGATGGATTTGAGCACCACTGTATTTGAGTGTGCGTGAGTAATGCAGTATTAGTTCAACATCAATTTCAGCATTGCTTTGCAAAAGTTGAAAAACTGTTGGTTTTGTAATAAAAACTGCGGTACTACCGTTTTTCCTAAGAATGTTTTGATTTTGGTGCCAGTGTGCATGGAGCAAGAGTGTTTGCTTATTTATAAGGTTCATAAACATTGAGACCAGATGATTTTTTTTTTGTTTTTCCTTTTGACTTACGTTTAACTGGATTTAAATGTCATGAATGACAGTGTTTGGAAGAGAAGAGACTTTTGAATGGTCGTGTTTCCAGCTCTTTCAGACCGAGGTGCTACCCGAGTCAGATGAGGCCTTAAAGGGTTAGTTCACCCAAAAATAATTAGGCTGCGTTTTACTCACCCCCGATGCATCCTAGGTGTATATGACTTTCTTCTTTCAGACGAATCCAGTCGGAGTTATATTAAAAATTGTTTTTTATTTTTCAAGCTCTATCTTTGTACTCAGCGGGTGTTGCATTCCTTCAGTTCAAATGACGTGAAATAAAAAGCACCCTTCCAGAAAAAAAAGTGTCTCACACGGCTCCCGGGGGGGATGCATCGGGGGCGAGTAAAACGCAGCCGAATTTTCATTTTTGGCTGAACTAACCCTTTAAAGCCACGTCATCTAACGCACAAGAACTTACAAAACGGCCAAAAACATTACATACTATATAAACTTTTTTTTTTGTCAATGTGTAAGTGGTTTTTAAGAATAAAAAGACAGCTTAAACAGTCATGGTTGAGTGAGTTATTTGATGTGAAATACAGATGTGTGACATATTTAGTCACATCCACTGTAAAACCCTTTTTTTTTTTCCCTGGTTGTTTTCAGTAAAAGTCGATATACTGAGAAACTTAATTTCTTTCCAAGTTCATTAAGAAGCAAGAATGAAAGGCATTGAGAAATGGAAATGTCAAGAAAACCTTAAAAAACTAAAAATTCTATTTGTAAAGATTTCAGTTTTATTTTAACCACAAGATTACATGGCAATGGTGAAATAAACTTGACATGTCAAAACCTTTTCTTCACCCCATTACTTTTACACAAAGTATATCTTGACAATAAAAAATAAAACAGCCTATATGTTGAAATATGTACAGCATGGATAAATTAGTATTTAAAGAGCTTTCTCTCAATTATCAGTGCATATAAAGCAAAAAAATTAAAAACTGGGGTCTTTCATATGCATTAATTTAAAGGGGTCATAGGATGCCCATTTTCCACAAGTTGATATGATTCTTTAGGGTCTTAATGAAAAGTCTGTAACATAGTTTGGTTACAATTTCTCAATGGTAGTGTAAAAAACACCTTTTTTACCATGTCAAAATAGCTCTTTTCAGATCAAGCCGTTTTTGTAGCATTT